TAATAAATAACATTGACACAAGTGGCAGATAAAAAAATGCAGAAGTGTTCATATCACAAACTGCAATCGTATCACTAGATAGCATTTTATAAAAATGACAGTTATATTTGCTGCATTGGTTACATACATACACACATTGCAAATGTGTATCCACAGGAACGATTCACTGTTAAAAATTATATGTCAATACATAGTGAGGGTAAAGGAGGTCATCCCGTTCTCCTCCTGTAATACACAAGACAGTATCTTTATTTAGAGCAGGACTTTGTCTGCCACCTTGTGGACGTTGATGGAAAATTTCTAGCAAACGTTGAGTATGGGCATAATTCACTTAACATGCCATTAAAGGGGCTCAATAGTCATCAAAACAACTTTAGCTTAATTAAACAGTTATGGTGTATAATTCATACCCCTGCAGTCTCGGTGCTCAATTCTCAGCCAATTGTTAGTTAAATCACTTTGTTTATACAGCCCTAGTCACTCCTCCCTGTGCCGGACTTTCCAAACACTTCCTGTAAAGGAAGATCTAATGTTTACACTTCCTTTATTGCAAATTCTGTTTACTTTAGAATTTCATATTGCTTGCTCTGCTAATAGCTAGTGATGTACCGAACGGTTCGCCGGCGAACGGTTCCTGGCGAACATAGCATGTTCGCGTTCGCCACGGCGGGCGAACATATGCGCGGTTCGACCCGCCCCCTATTCGTCATCATTGAGTAAACTTTGACCCTGTACCTCACAGTCAGCAGACACATTCCAGCCAATTAGCAGCACAGCCTCCCTAGCAGACCCTCCCACCTCCTGGACAGCATCCATTTTAGATTCATTCTCAAGCTGCATGCTTAGTAAGAGGAGGGAAAGTGTAGCTGCTGTTCATAGATAGGGAAAAGCATAGCTAGGTTAGGGATAAGGGTATGCTTTTTTTTTAATTATTTTTTTCTATGTAATGTAAATGCACTTAGTTGTCTGCCACTGCTGCCAGCTTCTGTGTCAGGCTCACAGTGCCCATTTCCCCAGTCAGTGCCACCAATTACATCTGGTGTCACAATAGCTTGGATTTAAAAACAAAAAACTTTTTTCACTGTTATAGATTGAATAGCAGTCAGTGTCCTTAAAGCGGGTGTGTTACGCTAACAGTGGATACGGTGACCAGTGCCACCAATTAGATCTGGTGACACAAAGCTTGGATTTAAAAAAACAAAACACTTTTTTCACTGTTATAGATTGAATAGCAGTCAGTGTCCTTAAAGCGGGTGTGTTACGCTAACAGTGGATACGGTGACCATTGCCACTAATTAGATCTGGTGTCACAATAGTTTGGATTTAAAAAAAAAATAATCTTTTTTCACTGTTATAGATTGAATAGCAGTCGGTGTCCTTAAAGCGGGTGTGTTACGCTAACAGTGGATACGCTGACAAGTGCCACTAATTAGATCTGTTGTCACAATAGTTTGGATTTAAAAACAAAAAACTTTTTTTACTGTTATAGATTGAATAGCAGTCAGTGTCCTTAAAGCGGGTGTGTTACGCTAACAGTGGATACGCTGACAAGTACCACTAATTAGATCTGGTGTCACAATAGCTTGGATTTAAAAACAAAAAACTTTTTTCACTGTTATAGATTGAATAGCAGTCAATTGTCTGCCACTGCTGCCAGCTTCTGTGTCAGGCTCACAGTGCATACTGTGCCCATTTCCCCAGTCAGTGCCACCAATTACATCTGGTGTCACAATAGCTTGGATTTAAAAACAAAAAACTTTTTTACTGTTATAGATTGAATAGCAGTCAGTGTCCTTAAAGCGGGTGTGTTACGCTAACAGTGGATACGCTGACAAGTGCACTAATTAGATCCTGTGTCACAATAGTTTGGATTTAAAAAAAATAATAATCTTTTTTCACTGTTATAGATTGAATAGCAGTCAGTGTCCTTAAAGCGGGTGTATTACGCTAACAGTGGATACGGTGACCAGTGCCACCACTTAGATCTGGTGTCACAATAGCTTGGATTTAAAACAAAAAAACTTTTTTCACTGTTATAGATTGAATAGCAGTCAGTGTCCTTAAAGCGGGTGTGTTACGCTAACAGTGGATACGCTGACCAGTGCCGCCAATTAG